GATTCGAGGTCCAGATATTGTATCCCGTTCATCATCCCCCGAAGAAGACGAAGAAGAAGATGGGGCGAATTCATGGACCGAGTTATATTTGTACTGACGTTTCGGAAACCCTCTCGTTTCCATCATCAGAGTAATGCGTTGACTGTTCCTGCTGGTCTTGATTGCGTCAGCCCTGATACCTGCCTGGTGTTATATCCGTGCGCGAGGCACGAACTTTGACCTGCCCGTTCGCCGCCGATTAGCGTTGACCTCTCCACGATTGACCGCCGGTGGGCTCCTGCCACTTATGACCCCTTTTCGGCCGTCGTAATTGTTGGTGAGCCAGCATGTTTGTCGGCCTCCCCCTCGTCACTCAACGGACTGAACAGTTGTTGGGGCTCATGTGAGTTGATCTCAGCCTCGTGGGTGTTGCGGTGAGGTGGCGTCGCATGCTGGTCACATGATCCCCGGCCGGCTTCTCTCCCACTTTCTGCTGGCATCGGCTGTCGGCCACGCGTCACTTTGCTCGACTGTCCTGATGGCCTTGTCCGCACTGACTCGAGCCTTGTACGTAGCGCCTGATAGGCGGGATGCAGATCTATGGCTCTGTTGAGTGTGCCAGTCGAGGACCAACTTTCGAGCACCAGTCTGGCCATCCTATCATTGGCTCGGCCGATTACCCTTGCCTTTTCAAAGGCGAAATTGTGGTTCTGCTGTTTGACGTGGCCATAAACCATAGACAGCTTGTCCTTGCGGTTGATTGCAAGCTGGTGTTCATGCAATCTTGTGCCAAGGCGTTTGTCCGTTTCGCCAACATACCTTGCATCACAGTTTTGGCATGGTATGCTGTAGACCACCGCTGATTGTTCTGTCATCGGTAGCGGGTCTTTGGGTCTCATTATTTGCTGTCTGATTGTTGACTCTGGCTTATGAGCCACTCCGATCCCGAAAGGCTTCAGGATTCTTGCCGTCGCCTCTGACACGTTTTTCACATAAGGGATTGCGAGCCAAAATTTTGGGTTTTCTCCGTCCAACCGCTCAGGGTGGGGCTTCTTAAGACACTTGCGTATGAAGGACTTGGGATAACAATCAGACAGCCGACGGCCGGAAAGGGGTCATTAGTGGCAGGAGCCCACCGGTGGTCAATCGTGGAGAGGTCAACGCTAATCGGCGGCGAACGGGCAGGTCAAAGTTCGTGCCTCGCGCACGGATATAACACCAGGCAGGTATCAAGGCTGACGCAATCAAGACCAGCAGGAACAGTCAACGCATTACTCTGATGATGGAAACGAGAGGGTTTCCGAAACGTCAGTACAAATATAACTCGGTCCACGAATTCGCCCCATCTTCTTCTTCGTCTTCTTCGGGGGATGATGAACGGGATACAATATCTGGACCTCGAATCTTTACCCATATCAATATATATACGCACATTTCCATTTCATTCCTCTCACTCTTGCCCGCTCTGCAGTTTGTCAACTTCCGACACCCTCCCCTCTGGACCTTTCCTATGCTAACTCCCCTTCCTAGCCCATATGTTGCTGTCTTAAACAGTACCTTCCGTCCAAGTAACAGGACCCACTCATTGGGAAATCGGCCTTTTAGCCAATCCTGTACGGCCTTCTCTCGCCGTAGTAAATCTAAGTCGGTGACTTGTCAACTGACTGAATGATTCATGTTGTGTGGGTCCCCTGGTTAATATGCTTTTATGCCATCCAGCGTTCATGATATTGGATCACCCACAACGGGTCATGAGGGAGTTGGGCCGCACCAACACGGGAGTCAGGTCAGGGTACGGCACGCGTTGTTGGGCTGAGGACTCCATAACAAATGTCATGCATGGCAGGTGTGATAGTCCCCATAGGTAAAGGCTCAGTCTGTGGGTCTGGAGCATTGACTTTGTATTAGTGCCCGGTATGAAGAACAGACATATCCTTGAAGAGTCGTGGACCTGCATCTGGTAATCGGCATTTGCTTTTGTTCCAAAGGTACAGTGATCAAATAGACCCGTGCGATGTATGAATGCAAGTAAACAGTGTAGGCAGATGCGGTTAGTCCAGCGGGTCACTTCGTCTTCGATTTTGACGCAGTGGGAGAGTGTCCTGGTTAAGTAGGCAAAGTTGTCCACGGTTTTAATTTCGATGCCATTGAGGTGGATACAAGGAGCACTGTCTGCGGCGTTGGGTAGCAATTGGCGCATGACCGCCGTTTTGCCCGTGTTGATGGTGAGACCGAAGTTGGCGCAGCCGGGTTCAAAGAGGTCTGCGCCCCGTTGCATACTAGCGTCTGTCACGGCGTTAGGCATGCAATGGTCAGCGAAAAGCAGATCATGGACTGTGGTCGTGTAGAGGCGCGTCGGGTCCCTATGCGCCAGCTGTTGAGAAGATGCCCGTGTGTGCTGTGCGCAATGCGGATCCGGGGGCACCCATTACGGTAAGCGTTCATCAGCATGGTAGAAATCATTAGAATGAACATGGTGTGGGGAATACACATCCCTGCTTCACTTCGTTGGTTACTGCGAATGCTTCTGGGACGGCTCGGTTGTCTATGACATAAGCCATCATCTTGTAGTGGAGCTGCCACACCATATGCGTGAGTCGCTGAGGACAGCGGAATTTCTCATGATTCTCTACAGATCGCCGTGATTCATTGTGTCGAAGGCATTCGTCAAGTCCACGAAGATAGTGTAGAGGTAGGCCCGCCCTTCCTCGCCATTCTCTTGAAGCTGGCGGCCGCGAAGTAAATGTTGACGATTAAGCGGTGGCGTTGGAGTCCACATTGACTGTCGGCAGAAGTTCCCATTCAACATGACCGTTTAGACGGTTGAATAGGATGTGAACGAATATCTTCATGCTGCTGTTGAATAGCGAGATTCCCCTGTGTTTTCACAGAGTTGCTGGTTTCCTTACCACTTAAAGAGATGAATGACTGCCGCATGCTTGAAGTCCAAAAGCAACTTCTTCTCGAACCTACATCTCCTTGAACAACGTTGTGAGTTGATCCATCAGCCGGGGGGTGCCGTGCTTGTAGACTTTTGCCGTAATCGCGTCGGATTCCAGTGCTTTATCGCTGAAGAGTTGGTGCAGGCTTAAGGTGTTTCTGGAGGAGAAGGCGGCAGATCCAGATTGTTCTTCGTTTTCACTTGAGGGAGTCGGTCGATAGCGGCGTCGGAGATCGTTGAGGGACGGTTAAGGACACTTCTGAAATGCTCGGCCCAGTGCTTCAGAATCTGATTTCTCTATTTGTATCTTTGTGTTATCGGAACCGAGTATCGGCGCGGGGTGTCTCAGACCGCCCTGAGTGATGCAAAGAAGTTCAAGGTTTCATTGTAGTTAACATACCCATTAATTTCGTTGGCCTTTCGATATATGCAGGCGTCCAGCCCCTCCAACCATCGTTGTTGCACATGACAATGATGACGAAAGGTCTCCTTGTTAACGTCAGTCCGAAGGTTCCTGTAAGCTTTGCGAAGCCTGCGCTTTTCGCCAATCAGTAGACTGATAACTCCGTCGTTGTTGTCGAACCAGCCCTGTTGCTGACTACGTGCGCGTCCGCGGACGCCAGTGCAGCCGAGCCAATAGTGTTTCACAGTTGGTCCCTTTGAGTCCCCGGGGTTACGTTGTCAGGGGCCGGCATTTCTTCCGGGTGCTGCGTTACTTGACTGCTGAAATGTAAGCGATGAGTAGGCTAATTCAACAAAACATAATTTAACTTATTTGGTAATCTCTTCCCCTGTTTCCTGCTGGAAGATTTCAGATGGTACCTCGTCTTGGAGATGACGAAGAGGTGGTAGGTCGAGCCATCGGCCTAACAGTTTGCCCTGGTCACCAGCACGTCCTGTCGATCTCACCTCCGGACAAGAACGTATTTTGGCAGCTTCCAGTGCCGCGATCATGGTCGTATCTTCGTCTTCTTCCGCGCTGACAGGCGAAAAAAACACGCTGGTCCAGAGGAGACGGTACTTCGCGTAGGTTCGCAGGAGGAGGCCGCTGTCGTTGCAGCTGCCGATTCTGTCGAGACTCAGCACTCCAATCCAGGCTGCGTATTTTGTTTCGACCCGGACATTGAAGTCACCAAGGGCAACCAGCTTTTCCGCTTTCGGTTCACTCGCCAGAAAGGCCTGCAAGTCTTCGTAGAATTTGGTTTCTCCATCGTCGCCACCGATCATTGGTGTGGGGCATAGACACTGACGATGGTGACGAATTTGGCTCCCTGAAGAGGTACGCGCAGGTTCGTGAGGCAGTCGTTGAGGCCTTGCGGCAGACAGGGCAGACGTCCCACGATATCGTCCCAAATGGTAAAAGCGACATCTGCACCACGTCGCTTTGCCTTTGGGCGACCTCTCCAGAAGAAAGTGTTGCTGACACTTACCTCCAGGTGGCTTTGTTAGGAGAAGCAGTTCTCGCTGAGAGCAGCGATGTCCACCTCGTGGCGCGCAGCTCCTAGAGCGACTGGCGTCGTCCTCCGTTTTCGTTGGTTGCCTCTCAGATCGTCTTTAAGAAAACAGACACTCAAATCTGTCAACTTGAGCGGACGCGTCTCATTAGCCTGTGACGCGGGGCGGAGGTGGGTCGTGGGCTGTCGTTTGTTTGATTGTTTTGGCCGTGAGTTGCCCATCCGCGAGTCATGGTCTGTATCTAGATAACCTGCTCCTAGAATTCTCTAGCCCCTTAATCGCGAGGAGGTAAGCAGTGCTGTCTCAATCTAGGGTTGATCATACATCTCAAATAGCCGTCTGCCTCCACTATGTGTCGCGGTTTGATTTAGTGGGAGAGCGGCACGAGTTGGACTGGGCCGCGTGTACTTCTCTCCACAGGGCTTTTGAAAGTGTCGGAGAGACGAGTAGAAAGGAAGGGAATGGAAATGGATGGGAAAAGTCAAGTAAATAGTGGTTTTGTGGAACGAAACATTTGATTCCCCACATCTGGTTTAGCCCGTCGGTCGAGGCGATTAGCAGGGTATGGCCGCTAGACAGAGCCCAATTTCGGCGAACCACAGGTTAGAGTTGGGTGCCAAGTAATGGACGCTGGACGTTCGCATCCGCGAATTCTGTCTCTTCCCCACGACAACCATTTTTGTCTTCTAAAATGATTCGTCTCCTGATGGACAACGAGGATGGGACAATGGATTGACCTAGGACGTGCTGAACACACATGATGCAGGGGTTTATTGTGCGGTTCTTAATTTTCCTCTAATTGGTTTCCAAGCACACGTATATTCCGCTAGGTGAGATTTTGCGGAGAAAAATCCCTCTGGCATCCAGGACTATCTCGCCGAGTCATGGGTCACGTTCGTCCGTGCGTACTCGTCAACCCCGGAGGTCATCCTGGGTTGCGACGCTTGCTTGGCGATTTTGATATCATGCATCAATAAGCTAGGAGTTTTCTTTTTAATGCTTCAAAGGGCGAAAGATGCATATTTGTAATAGTGAGGCTTTCTTCATTTGGAAACGACGTCAACTCGCAGCACCTTGAGGCGTAGACCGTCTATGAGCGTCTGCGGAGGTGGTATCAGGTGATGACTGAGCTTTTTTCAATGTTATTATTAGAATACCTCGGCGCCCTCTTATTCTTAGCAGTCCTGTCGAGCTGTACCATGTTTCTCGAAGTTGAATAGGGTGTCTGCTGGTCTCACCTTTGTTTCTCGGAGGCAGATTGCTGCTGCTGCCACTAGTTTTATATCGAAAACAATTTAAATGCACCCACTTCTAAGACATGTTGCTATCATAGCCCTACTCGTAGGTAAGACCTCGAAGCAATCATTAGGGCGCTGAGTGGCGAGACCGCTGATTTCTTCCTGCATTTCATTCGACCGCATCCCAGGGGCGACACCTAATCATCCAGCAGCAGAAGTCAGTCTTTAAGTACGAATTATAGTGGAATGCTCTAGGCGCTAAGCAGATGGGCAGCATGCGCAGGTGAACAAAATCCCACTTGTTTCCGGGATCCCTTTCAATATGTACTGCACAAATTGATGTGGAGAATTCTTTACCAAAAGTATTTCAACGGAATCATTTCGGTGGACTTTCGCGATTGCGACCTCCTTAGCCTTTTTTACTTACGCTTCACATGCTTAGCAGGGCATAGACTGTGTGACTGAGGTTCTCGCAGAGTAAACACCGAAAGCGAGTAAAGTTGCCCCAGCAGACCGCTGACCTGACGCCATCGCTTTGCATCGCAGGAGAGTGGACGGCCCTAATGTTTTTTAAAATTGTTTCCCAAGTGTATGCCCAATTGTCCTCTGCTTGGTGGTAAGTTCCAATGAAATTGATACGGGTTTAGTGTAGTCAGAATTTGGCACCCACAGGTGCAGGCCCACTGTCCTCTTCCTGCTGATTGCTCGGCCGAATTCAAAACAGTCGAAGGCGAGGAGCTTTAAACCACGCTGCATGTTCTCTTCCTTTGTGGTGCTTAGTGCGAACCCATTTGCAAAACATAGGTCATGAGTCTCGGCCTAGGATACCTCCAAAGATGCTTTCAGACGATGGATGTTGAACAGTTTTCCGACGTCCGGTAATTGAGGTGTATCTGTTGTCGCTCCTCGCGGTAGATATCATCAACTTGGTAGAGGAGACTGGGTTAAATACTACTGGAACGGGTACGCAAACCTGCTGCACGCCGTTTGTCATTGTGGATGCTACGGAGATTGTCCTGTTGTCCACTGCGAGAGTAATCATCACGCCGTGAAACTGTCTTACCATTCGTGTAAATCGCCCGGAAATCAGAATTTCTGCCTGATTCCCAGAGTCCATGTCCATTTACTGTGTCGAATGCATTCGTCAGATTTGTGACAGTCCGTGACTTTTTGCTCTCCGTCACTTTTTCATGCGGTCCTTCTGTCCGCACCACGCTCCTTGTCGATTCGCTGTTGGGAGCGCGTAGGGTTTGTCTCTATCGAGAATCGAGCCGGCCCTTATCAGCAGCTTCACTGTCGTATCCTTGCTGTCTCTATCCATCATGTATACTGAATTAAATACCCGCGTGTTCGCTTACTGCGTTGGTGTCCGTGTTTGGTGATGCTCCTGAGACGATATTTTTCGCGCTTATTGCGTTTTGCTCTTCGTTTTTTGGACTCTGACACGGAAAAATTTCTTCTGGTCACCAAGGTTCTGCTGCACGGGCGTCCCGAAGTCAGAAAGCCCGTTTTTCTTTGGTTTTTTTGTTTTGGATATATGCTCACACACCAGAAGGTTCATCATCTTGCCTCGCAATCTTCGCGGTAATTGCGCTCTTGCCACGATTTGCTGGCCGTTTGCTGGAAACGTACATAGAGCGGGCTCAGATTCTAGACGCGAAGGACATCTCATTCCCCTTATCACATAAAGATAAAGCGCTGGCGTGGTCGTACTATTATAGTTAAATTCCTGATATTCCGTAAACATAGGGATGAGAGAATTGGTATATTTTCGATTTCGGGGTTATAATGAATTCTCCGGATTTGATGTGAGGAAATAAATTGACTACTTAAAATTTAGCGAGCGAAAATAGATACTATAAGTTTTACAAAATGCATGAAGTTTATCCAGAAGTTTCTCAGCGGTCTGCAGATTTCGAAGGACCTGAATAACTTCAGGTCATGGAGGATTTGAACAATTGTTTTCCTAGGCTGCAGATAACCGCGAGTCGGCTGATAAGTCGGTTGAACTGTGCTAAAAATCAAATTGTGCTTGACTCGGATTCCTGACAAATTTCGACACCTAAAAGAAATCTTAAAATGCACAAAGTAATTCTGTACGTACAGTTTCAATGCCAATTTTGGAAAGAATAACTGCGACGTTGTAGCCAAACCAGTGAATTCCCAGATTGAGGACATAATAATCCCGTTGTGCTCGGTCGAGCTTTCTTGCCCATATTTAGAGTCATGACTCAACCACACGACTTGTTCGCCACATCCTGTCCACTGCCTCTCCCGTGTTTTTCGGCTCCGCCGTCTCCGGCCTGCACGTCTTACAGTCGCCAAGACCGAGTTCGAGCACAAGCTTTTGATGGGCATCATTCATTTATCTGAAAGTCCATGGTCCTCACTCCTTCTTATGGTCCCTAAGACCGCCATTGGTGACTGGCGCCCCTGCAACGATTACAGAGCCCTAAACCACGTGACCGCACCGGACCGCTACCCTGTCCTGAATCTTTAGGATTTCGTCAGCATCCTATTTTGCATATCTGTGTTTTCGAAGATCAACCTGGTCTGCGCCTACCACCAAATGCCTTTCGCACAGAATGACGTTTTGAAGACTACCTTTATCACTCCTTTTGGCCTTTTTGAGTTCCTGAGCAGACCGCTTGGACTCCTCAACTTCTCTCGGAACTCCTAGATGTTCGCAGGCAGACTGCTTTGCGGCCTACCACCTGTCTACGCATATATCAATGACCTGTTGATTGCTAACTCAACCGTCGACGAATATGTGGATCGTCTTTCAACGTGGTTTGATCGCGTTGTTACCAACCCCTCCAAGTGTGTCTTCGGTTTCCCCTCCGCAGAATTCCTCCGGCATCTGGTCTTCTCCAACAGCATCCATCCTCTTCCATTGAACATCGCGGCTATACGCGATTTCCCGCCTCCCTTTTCCGAACGTCCACAGCAGCGATTTCTAGACCTGGCGAATTTATAGCGCCGGTTTCCCCCGCACTGTGCCGACACCATTCTGCCGCTAGAGAGTCTCCCCTCGTGCTCGTGTTAACGGATAGCGAGTCCCTTCCCCTAGCTGTCAAGTCCGCTTACGACAAGCTCAACACCCCGGAAATTCGTCAAATGGACCACATTCCGCAATTTACTTTAGACATCCGTCACATCGACGGGCCACGCAATAAGGTGGATGGCGCATACTCCAGGCCCTCCATCGCTCATCTTTAACTTTTACCCGGGATCGATCTTGCTGAAAGGGATGCCGAACAATGCTGTCTTGGCTCTTCCTGTGACGAAGACGGTGCCGAACCCCAACTTCAGGACCTGCCACTGAATACTGGAAACGGTGCCACACACTGTGGTGACTCCACCTCCTCCCACAGGCTTTTGTTCCGCCATCCCTCCGCCGCAAAGTCTTCTCCCCGCACAACCTATCCCACATTTTGATTCAAGCTACCAACCAGCTGGTTTCCAACCGTTTCGTCTGACCTGGGATACGTAAGGTCCTGAGAGCATGGACACGAATCTGTTGGTCGTGGGCGG